CTTTGTAATGTTCTTTTAACTGATAACATTGTTTCTCTATGGCATAAATGGCTTGGCTATATACCTTTATATAAGATCAAAACATTTGAGCTAAAAAACAATAATATTTTTAATGATAAGTTTGTATGTGATGTTTGTCCACAAGCTAGATAATATAAACTTTCATTCAAGCAAAGTTCAATTCATACTTCTTCTCCATTTGAGTTGGTTGATACTGATACATAGGGACCATATTCCCTTTGTAATGTTCTTTTAAATGATAACTTGCACTTACGCTCTCTTGAAGTTCATATTGGTTATGAACTTCAAGCTAAAGAGTTTTAAGAGTTTTCTTAGAAATACTATCATCTTCAATTCAAGTTGAGTTATTTTTGGTGTCTCAAAGGTTTCCACATTCTCCATCAACTTCTAAACCTCCCATTGAGGTTTCAAAGACTATAAAGGTTGTTATGTTCTTCTTTTTCTTTGGTGCTTGTTTTCTTTCCAAACTTTGCAAGTAGATCCATGGTTGGTTATAACTAGTTTATAATTATTCAAAAATCTTAAATTCTTTCGTCGCTAAAATCTTAAATTCATTCCAATCTCCTAACTAAATTTTTGGGTGATTGTGTTCTTATAGCCTCTTATCTCATAAGCAGATTTCCATGAAAACTTCTCAAAGGTAAAACTCATTTCTCTACGTTATATGGTTTGGATCCAACTTATTCCCATCTCAACCTTTTGGGTGCTTACGTTTTGCTAATACTCTTAAAGAAAACAATGAAAAGTTTAAACTTAGAGTTGTCCCATGCATATTAGTTGGATATCGTTTTGGAATAAAAGCTTACAAGTTATATGACATTAATTCTCATAAATAGTTATTTCAAAAGATATCAACTTCATGGAAATATATTTCCATATCAATCAACATATATGAATTTTCAAAATATTTCCACTTTTTCCCCTCAAAAAGAACAATTTTCTTTCTTTTATTTTGATAGTACACATTACAATTCTGATCCTACATTTCAAAATTCCCAACATAACAATAACAATCATGTTGAAATTCCTTCTCCAATTGTCAATTCTCCTACACCTGCCAATTTTCATCTTTCACCTATTGATCCTCTTGTTGTCAGAAGATCTGAAAGGAATCATCAGCCACTTATTAAATCCCAAGATTATATTTGTGGAAATGCTCTAGATGTTTGTACTCATATTACTACAAACATGTCATCTTTCAATCATAAGTTTTCACTTTATTGGATGATAAGAGAAAATATCTAATCAAAAGTGTTTGTGTTCTATTTGAACCTTCAAGTTGTGAAGAAACTATCAAAATTCTAGAATGTAGAAAGATCATAAACAAAGAATTTGATGCTTTACAATCTAATACCATTTGGGTTGTTACTAATCTTCTAAAAAGGAAGAAACCAATCAGTTGCAAATATCAAATATAGGCCAAATGGAGAGGTGGAAAGATATAAATGAAGATTGGTTGTTAAATGTTACACTCAGAAAATTAGAATTTAATATAACGAGACTCTCTTTAGTTGTCAAAATGACAATAGTTAGAGACTTAATAGCCATTGCTGTCAAAATTGATTGGGAGATGCACCAACGGGATGCCAATAATGTTTTTTTGCATGGTGAATTGGATGGAAATTTTTATATGAAACCGTCACATGGCTTAATTGTTGACAATCCAAATCAAGTTTACAATTTACAAAAGCCTTTATATGGCCTAAAACTGGTTTCGAGTCAGTGATATGCTATGATGTCATCTGCATTATAAGACAAATGGTATCAACACTTAAAGAACAATTATTCTTTGTTCCATAAATCCATGGGCAATTTTGTCACATATGATGCAATTCATATGTTGATGACATAGTGATAACTGGGAATTATAATGAAGAAATTTCTCAATAAAATCTTTTTTTATGAAAAATTCAAGATTAAAGATTTGGGACTTCCTAATTTTTTCATGGGAAATAAAATTTTATATTCTCCTAATGGTGTTGTATTTGGTCAAAGGAAATATGCAACATATTTACTTAATGAATTTTAATGCGACAGAAAATTTGTTTGTCCCATTCCTTCAAATACAAGTTGTTGATCAATGAAAGAAATGTTCTGCCCAATCAAGTGATGTATAGAAGACTTGTGGGAAAATTGAATTTCTTGACCAACACAAGGTCATACCTTTCTTTTATTATATAACATTTAAGATGGTTCATGCTTGATCCACATGTCCCACATATACAGCTACACTTCATACACTTAGATACATCCAACAATAATCATGATCAAGGATTGTTTTTCAACAAAAATGTCGATTTTACCCTCCGAGCATGTTGTGATTCTGATGGGTTGCATGTCCTCATTTAAGGAGAAGTATAGGTGGCTCTTTAAAATGCTTGGAGGAAGCCCAATTTCATGGAAATCTAAGAAATAAGTGTATTTATTTTTATCCTCAACAGAAGCAGAATACAAGAGTATAGGAAGAGTAATTGTTGAGGTGGCTTAGTTATTTAGATTGTTGCATGAGATGACTATTCCAGATGTCACTCCTATTCTTGTTTGTTGTGAAAACCAAGCAACCATTATTGTAAGAAACCTAGTTTTTCATGAGAGGACTAAACATTTGGAAATTGATTGCCATGTTGTCATAGAAAAATTGCTAGAAGAGCTAATCCACTCAAACATGTTCCAACAAACTTGCAATTAGTTCATATGTTAACAAATAATTTGCCTGGTCTAGAACCATTATCGATCACTTTACAAGTTAGGAGTTTCTCACTCTCCAACTTAAGGGGATTTGTTGTTATTTATGTATGCCACATCATAATTCCCACCCACTGAGTACGCGTGGCATACTCAGCTTATACGCTTAGCGTACACCCTCTAGGGCTCGTACACACAATGTACCAACTTGATACACCCATCGTACTCCTCAGTTGGCCACCCCACTTCGTTAATCACATATTTCATTGAGACTTCAAGCCAAACTTTCATATTTGATTCTATAAGACCACTTATCACGTAAAGTTGGTAACTTTACACACATGCATGTCTTAATGGGGCTCAAGAGCTCAAAAAGAGCTTAATAAAGGTCTTAACACATGCATGGTTCAAAATACACCATAAAGCTTGCATTTTTATGAATAAGGGGACCAAAAGAAGTCTAGATCTAACACCAATACTTCTGGAGAGAGTCAAGAAGTTCATCAATCATTCCATGGACTCAAAATGCATAAAATGACCACATAACTAGATCTGGCATCATGGATTATCAAGATGTGAGCTCTTTACCTTAAAAAGTTTGCAAATGATGAGCTAGCCCTGGATCTTCAAGCTTAAGACACCTCTCCAAGTGATCCACTTCTTTCTCCTTCACAAACCACCAATAAACACCCTCTAAGGCTCGAAACTCACTGAAACACACTAAGGTTTCGATTTCTCGACAAAGAAAGGTGGAAGCTGGCTAAACATGACCAAATGAGGTTATCATAAGGTTTAAATAGGGTTCAAACCCTAAAAATTAGGGTTTCACTCATGCCTACGTACGCTATGTGTGCTCCACCAACGATAAGAATTGCACCAGTACACCCAGCGTACAAGGAGTACTCTTAGGGTACTCCAACTTTCCTGAAGTTGGCAACTTTGCCCCCTAAGGACCAATTCTACAAAACATTAGCACAACAAGCGTCTAAACTGAAAAGTACTTTGAATCGGGTGTTGCATCCATGGTATATTATTTTATGGTATCTTACTTTCTATATAAAAAAAATAAAAAAAAATAAAAATTATGGTCACAAAGCTATTAAAGGTATCAAAAGGATCAACAACTCATTTAGACCTTGAATAGATATGAAAAAATTTGTATTGTGGGTGGATAGGGTTTGGTGGATATATTTATATCCATTTTTGATCTTATTTGGTTGGCTTTCTTGATTATTAAATGTCATTAATTGAAAAACTCACCCGACTAGTTTATGTATATACTTTTTACTTTTGACTTTTTGTAAACATTAAAAACATATCAAAGTTGTTCGTTGTTATGTTAATGACTTTTTGCCAATTCTACTATTTTCTATGTTTTGTATTTTTATGCACAGCGAACCAAGAATAAAGAAATATTTAAAATTTGAATGTGCCAAAACATTGAGATTTATGCATTTTGTCATAAACAACATAGAAACAGAAAAAAACAGATTTCTTTTTCACCTAATAAAAATGTTTAACCGGCACCAATATGTGAAAGTGGTTATATTGAACTTTTTTTTTCTGGTTTTTTATGTAGAACAAAATAAAATTAGATTGTTAAATAGGATATTAGCAAAACTTTAGTGGTTTTTATATGTTTTTTCCTTTTTTGATATACGTATTCTAGTTTCTTTAACTTTTACTATAACAATGACATATAATTAATCTTATATTTGGAAGCATTTCACAAGTTTTTTTGGGTTGCTTATTGCAATTTTCTTTAACAAAAAACTAGTTTATAACACGTTGGAGTTATGGTTATAAAATTAATTAAACTTTTATAATAAAATAAATTATTTTAAATAAATTATTATTGAAGATATATATTTTTAGTTATATAAAATTATAATCGTTGATTTAAATAAATACATGACTTTATAATTTTGTTTTAATTTTTATTCTAATGTTATTAATTTAATGTTGTTAGAGTGAAAATTTTAAAATTTAAACTTTGAAATAGAAAATCAATAAATTGATAAATGACATAAAATTAGTTAAAAAACCTAATAAGATGACATATGATAAAAAAAAAATAAATAAACATACTTTTTTATTAAAATAGGGAGATAGCATTAATAAAATACGTTATGAGTCAAAATTGAGATATATTGTCGAGTGTGGACACAAGATGTTATTTTTAAGATGAGATCAGTGAACAGTGGCGATTCCGACATTTTTTTCGTTGAGGGCACATTTTGAATTTATTTAAAAACATAAAGGACTTTCAAGTAAAATTTTAAATAACTAAATTATTTACAAGTCTTTTTTTTTTTTTTTTTTTTTTTTTACCCAAACTTTAAATCCGCGAGTGTCAGCAGAGTGAATGAAGTCTTGGCACAGGAATACAAACCAAAGGATTAGCTCTAGGAAGTGTGATCCCAGGTCCCTCTTTCATATCAACACGAGTCGTATCCCCGTGTTGACCAGCCTTCCACTCGAAGCATTGAAGCATCGCACCCAAAGCCACTTGTGCGATTTGCATCGCTAAAGACATCCCAGGACACATTCGTCTCCCGCTCCCAAACGGCAACATCTGGAAGTGTTGTCCTCTAACATCCACCTGACTCCCTTCAAACCTTTCAGGATTGAACTCCAGTGGATCCTTCCAATTCTCCGGATCCCTACCAAGGGCCCAAACATTTACAAAAACAGTAGTTTTTGAAGGAATATGGTAGCCTCCGACTACGCAATCTTCGGTTGATGTTCTCGGGATTATTGGCGCTGTGGGGTGTAACCTTAGGGTTTCCTTCACGATTGCTTGGAGGTATGGAAGATTCGGTATGTCGGATTCTTCTAGTATTCGGTTTTTTCCGATAACTCGATCTATTTCTTCTATTGCTTTTTTCATTACTCTGGGATTGTTGATTAGTTCGGCTAAACCCCATTCTACAGTAAGTGCGGATGAGTCTGATCCTGCAACGAATAAGTTCTTTGACAAAACAAAGGTTAATTAAGTCAGTCTTTTTAACAGTTTCATTAATTGTCGCTGTTAATGGATTAACTAAAAGAGTAATTAATTACCAGAATAAAGGCTTTAATGTTTTCTCTGCTCACTTTCAGCTCCATGGAATCATCTTCTGAAACATTGAGTAGAATGTCCAGAAGGTCCTTCACTTCATCTTTGTCCTTCTTCTTCCTCCTTTCTTCTTCATGCTCACGTATGATCCTTTCTATCAAGTTATCGTAAAGTGGGTGTATCTCCTTTAAACGTTTTCCAAACCCTTGTAAATCAAGATTCTTACAGAACCAGATGTAATCTGCGAGGTTAAATCTACCGCTAATCTCTGTTATCTCGGTAACCAGCTTCATCATATTAGATGCTTCGTTTTCATCCTCCGAACACCTTTCGCTCACAATCATTCTCGAAATCACGTTGTTTGTCAACTTGAAAAGCTCGCCTTTAAGATCCACAGGCATACCAAGTTTTGCGTTTTGTGATAACATGTTCATGAACCGATTAATCTCGTCTTGTCGTACAGGAAGAAGTAAATCGAGGGTTCTACCGTTTAAGAGCTCCGACATAATCAGTTTCTTCATGAGTTTCCAGTAGGATCCATAAGGAGCAAACATGAAATCTTTTGACCCGTAGGTCAAGTAGACTGTTGTGGTGTTTCGGGGTCGATCTAAGAAGGAAGCTTCGTATGTTCTAAGGAATTCTTTTGCCATTTCCGGTGAAGAAACAGCAACACAAGGTACTGATCCGAGTAAGAATCGGAATACTGGACCATATCGAGTGGAGAGCTTGTGTAAAGCTTGGTGAGGGATTGGAGCAAGGAGGTGGAGGTGTCCGATGATCGGAAGAGCCAAGGGGCTCGGAAGAAGCCGGGATTTGCACAGGGAAGATGCATAATAGGATCGGATGAATAGAATGGAGATAAACGAAATGAGTAAGAGTATGAAGTAGATGTCAACCATTGGTGGAAAAAAAAAAAAAAGTCGAAAATGATTGGATTCAGATGATGGATATAAATGTTTGTGTGCCTTATATATACCAAGAAAGAACTTCCTTTTATTGTTAGCTGTTAGAAACAAGAGGAATCGTCGTAGATATAAACCAAGAAAGAACATTAATTTTTTGTTTGAAGATTAAACAATATTGCATTTTTATATGGGTGTTTTGGAAAAGTCACATTGGCTTCATCTAAACCCAAAAATTATATAATTTAATATATATGTTCAACCATTGATTTGATATAAAATATGATTTTTTTTATATAGTCGTTTTAGAAAAGTTATTTCTGTTTTTCTTTTTCTTTTTTTAATAAATTCATTAATTTGTAAAATGATATAATAAAAAATGTTATAATTCAACACACGCATGTCCCTACCCTAACAAAAATTATCCATTTCAAACGTAAGCATTTGTTGCCAATGGAGATGATATAATTCTATAATGTGATCTTGTTACAACTGTTAACCACACAATTACAATATAAGGTTTAATGAAAGAAATAGCAAACGCTTTTATTTATTTACGTATTATAAAAACTTACTTTTATTTCTTCCAATTTGACACGATGACAAAAGGTTATTCTACTCCATGTATCTTGATTAGGTGATTTCACGTATAAAACCAGTTTAACTAACCCAGACACCAACGTATAAAAGAAATCTGAAACTACGAAGCAAAGTAGTTTGAACATAGACTTTTCAAATAATCATTAATAAACCTAACTCAACATGTAGATATTGTTCACAATGGTGTAGGGTGATCATTGAGATTTCCGATGCAGAAGTTCAAAAAAAATACATATGTGATATGTATTTTTGTTATACATGCTAACTAACACACTCACAGATCATAGGAATGTCCTGAAACATTGATATATGCTAAATAAATTTGACATGCTCTAGAGACAATGCACAACTCATAAAAACAAAACAAAAAACAAAAAACAAAAACAAAGAAACAAAAACAAAAAAACAAAAACAAAAAACAAGGGGATATAAGTGTATCATTTTTAATTTCTTTTGATTCACCATGAACGACCAAGACTCTATTCTTGATCAAGTTCACAAATTTCTTGTTTTGGTGTCTAAGATTAATTTCTTTGAATCCATCATGAATTACCATGACGTTTGTTAGTTAGGGTGATAATTGCAAAGTTACCCCTTTCGTGACAATTGCAGTTATACGAAGAAACTGATGTGTGAAAAGAATCTAAACTGTGCTTGTGTGAAAAGAATCTAAATTGTGCATCAAATTAAAATTTTGTTTGTGTTTATTCTTGAAAATCATAAAACAAGAAAAATGAAGGATAATTTGATTCTCGCAACATAATCAATAAAGGCAAGTAGTCGTTGTCTAAAATTATGTGTTACCCTTATAAAGAAAATGGGCATATAAAACATTATTCTCCAAAGAAGAACCAGAATTCAAACAAGAAGACTAAAAAGGCAATGATATAAAACATGGTGGAACAAGATGATATTGCTAGAATTATAGTCGTGCTTTCTAAATTAACTAATGGAATGATTCAAGAACTGCATATGGCAAGTGTGATAACCACAAATGAGGGTGATCTTGTAACATATTAAAACCAAGGCAAAAAATTTATTTTTAAAATCGTTCTAAAATCCACAAGTTTTACAAAACAAATATCCAAAAGACACCATCACGAATGAGAGTATCCAAAATCCTAAATCACATAAAAATCTGATATGATGTGCACGGTCAAGCATTCGATTTGGCCATGTCTTCTGAAGTACCTGAAACCATAAAATCAAACTGTAAGCCAAAGTTTAGTGAGTTCTCCAAAGTAATACACACAACCAATAGATAACAGCATGCATATATGAGCCTTCAGCTTAACTGGATCACCCGTATGGCCTACAGCCTATCTGGACCATCCTGAGTATCTTGGCCTTCAGCACAAAGCAGGATCACCTCAACCAAACACAATATGTCGACAAATGCAATAGATAAACATAAACATATATCCAGCAAGTACATGTAATTATACAGATCTACCAATGTATCATATAACTAGCATAACATTAATCAATATACCAGGATACATAACCTAGTTAGTCGGCATTGGTGCCTTCGACCCACCAACTACAATGAGGAAAAAATCACCTCACAGTCTAAAAGATAGCTGAAATGATCACTGCTCTAAATACTATCTCTACAGACCACCTTATAATAAATAGTTGAGTACACTCCATCTGTATGCATGGTGTAAAGATCATTCCCCATATTACAGGGCTCAAACTCGGTACGTGTTATGTACCTCTTGGTACGCCCTGCGTACTTAAGTTAGGTCCAACTTCTTAATTAAGCCCTTATTCCCTTAGGACCTTACGACCAAAACTTATATTCAATACTAAAAATCATCCTAATTTGTATGATGCGTTAAAAACAATGTATTTTTAATTACGATTTTATAAAAATTAAAAAATAAAAATAAAAAATCATACATGCATTCATAAAAAATGCATGGATATAAAGATCCTAAGTAAAACTATATCACTTATTAACGGGAGTGATTTAAACGAAAACTGTAATAGACTCAAATACGAATGTTGAATATAAAAATTGTTAAAATTTGTGATCGTATGAAGACGTTATGATGTTTCGTACACAAAACCTTAACCAAACCATAAGAACTAAACAACCACGCAACCGAGACCGTGAACAACTCCAAACACCTTATTAATGATTGTCCCGCGTAAGAGATTGTGGGAAAACTTTAAAAAAATCAATCATAAGTATTGAATGTGTACAAAAACAACAAATGCATATTTTGCAAAAAAAAAAATATTAAGAACTAAATGTGTATAAAGTGAAAAATATATTACCTTTTTAATTCATTTTTTCCAACTTACCTAGAATAACCGATTATAATAACTAAATATATACAGTTAAACAAGTTAAAAGGTTAAATGTAGACAAGGAAAAAAAAAAACTTTAATGATCAAATGTATACAAATCAAAAAATATATTATCCTTTTAAATCATTATCTCTACATAAAATTAACTTTTATAAACCAAAGGTAATTTGAAAATAAATATGTTTTATCTTCATCAAAAAAATAAAATAAAACACATAAATACACGATTTGTTTTTCCCTACAAAATAACATTAATATTGATACAATTTTCATATATCTTTTTTGTTAAAAATGAGATTGATTTGGGGTGCTGATAAGTGTTAAAATTTTGGTATGAGTGGATTGGATAACAAGAATGATAACATTTTTTAATAGATAATTAGATTGGATTGTATTGTTAATCACACCTAATTCCTAACGTTCACACATTTTGTCATAAGACGGTTAACACCACATTCCTAATATTACACATAGTCCTTTTGTCATAAACCTTTAATATATAACAATTTTTTTAGAGACAGCTATTTGGTGATTTTTGTGATCAATCACAATAAAACTGTGCCAAAAATGAGATATCCGAGTAACCGTGAAAAAGACAAATAGATCAAATTTTTATGACCATTAAACTGTGCCAAAAATTCTATTACTCGAATCAACAGTTTTGAACAAATCTATTACAAAAAGTAAACGCCTATGGATACAAGAAATATCTTCAGCAGTTGATCTGATTCTGATGTCTATACCAAAAACAAAAGAGAAATTCAACCTTTCAAGCAAAAAGGATAACAAAACTAGTAGTATAGTATAGTATACTACGAGCCCAATCATCAGTGGATGATCTATCAAAACATACCTCACCGATCCTCATGGTGCTCAACGAGAGTAGAGCCTTCTTCTTTCACTACACACTGAATCTAAGAAAGATTCTACAAAAAGATTCCGCCATCTAACGCATTGACATCAAAGTCCTGACCCTTTTCTCCCTTTCAGCTTTTTTAGCAGTTGGGGTTCTCTTCAATCTGTGCAATTCCTCCATCACCACCTTCTCAACAATGTCAATGGAGTTTAGCAGCTTCTTTTGAGGTGTCAGAAACTCTGAATCTCCGCCATCTTGATTTGTAACGTCTATGAATATCTTCAATGGCGGTGGTCTGAATGTCTTCGTTGCTAATTTGGGATTTGGGGTCACTAAAGAAAGCTCGTGCTCGAGGTGAGCACCTAATGGTGAAGGATCATGAACAGCAGGCTGATGATCAATCCTTATTGGGGTTGGGCTCCCCAAAACTTGACCTCCGCCATCTACCAAATGCGCTCTTCTTCTCTCAATGGCCTGTGTAACAAATTCATCATATAATCAATACCATGTTTCTGTGCAATCCAAGAATTGGAGACATTGATCAAGAAAGAAATCAAGAAATGCTAATTGGAAGCCATTGAAAGGGTTTAAGGAACATAATCGAAGGAAGGTTAACAAAATCCAGATCTACATGGAAACATATAACCGCAATCTATCGATTTGATGTCTTGATTAAGAAGAAGATATTAATTGTGTTAGGAGAATCATACCCGAACGACATGAGTGATGTCACCAAGAGGAGTACGTGGATACCAAGAAGGTAACACGCTCTGAGATCCAGGACGTCTTCCACTACCTCGTCGGACAGTGCTACCTGACGGCGGCGTGTTCTGATTCCGGCTACCACGTCGGTAGACCGTCCCCGGTGTTCCGAAAAGACCCCTCCCAGCACCACCTCCTCTAGTGGCGGCACCGGTAATGGTTCGAGTAGAAGGGGCCCCATCCATCGGTTGACCTGAAGTCCCACCAGTCAACGGCGTCGCACCCCACCTGAAAGGAGTCTGGTTAAAACCCCTCTCATTATCACCATTGTCCGGAAGAATCCCTACGCTATCGACCGAACTCCGACGAATACGGTATATCTCTGCAACTCCGTTGTTTGGCCTCGCTAATCGGTCTCTTGCTTCCGGCATTTTTAGTATTTTAATCTGCATAACAAAATCGATTGAGATCAACTAACTATTGACGAGAATCTACGACAGAAATCGGATATAAAATCATATTTCATCGACGTAAGATCTATTCACAATTTGAAACCAATTGTTAGTTTCACTATTCAGATGTTTCGCCGGAAATGGGATACTGTGGAAACCTAGGTGGATTTAGACGAAAAGATTCCATTTCTAATTGACCTAGATGAGAAATTGTTGAGTTGAAAATGAATAATGTTTACCTGATATCTGGTGTATTAGGGGTAAGAAATGTTGGAGGTGCTCAGATGAAACAACAATGGAGGCGACCAGCTACTTTTGAAGACGCCGTTGATGAACTGAAAGAGAAAGAGAGCTTTGGAAGAGGCGAAAATGGCGAATTTTGAAATGAAAATTGGGCGGTTTATATATCCCAAAAGCAATTCCCATTTCGAAATGCCAAAATTATTTTTGAATAATTTTTAATTGTCGAGCACGAGAGTGAAATTTCAGTGTAAGTTTTCAAAATTCAAATGTGTTTTCAATTGGCGGGATGAATCACTGAATTGGCTCTTGTTAAGTTACTAAAATGCCCTTGATGTGGAAGTTGTGTTTGTTCGTTTGTAGGGGGTTTGGAAGTGTAAAAATGTCAAAGCCACATGTCATATTAGATACTTTGAACATCACTAAGACACTAAATAAGTCAAAACAAACAATTAACAATGACCAAATAGTAATAATCACCATTTTATTAGTTTGGCTAAATTACGGTTTCCTCCCCATAGTTTGTTGAACATTAGAGACGACGTTCCAATAGAATAAATTTTAAAAGTATATGTAACTAAAATCAAGTTTTATAATATTATTTTTGATCAATTTTAAAGTATTTCTTACAAAAATCAAGTTTTATTATATTGGGTGTTGATATGGAATATTGTTGTGAGATGTCAAAATCCGTCTAGATCAGTCTAGTACCAAAAGCTAGTTTGTATGTTTTGCATAATGGCACTATTTGTGTTGAAGATGTAATTTTAGTTTCTTATATTTTTTCATTGTTTGTAAACTTTTGTTATCTTTATAAATATGTGATGGGTACTAGAGTTAAAGAACTTCTTGGAGTCTTCGACTTGTACTCTCTATTTTCTTTTATCTTTTCAAAGCGTAATTGAGCCAAACAAATTATATTTACATCTCGTGTTCATAATTCATTCTACACTCTGATTTCGTTTCATAAACTAAAATAATAATAACTTCATTGGGTTAATGATTTTCTAATGATAATCCATTTGTTGGTATACACATTTAATCACTGACAATTGTTTTCTAGGATACCATCAAATTAGGAGTAGAAAAAACTAAAATTAATAGGGTTTTTTGGCATTATAACCCAACTTTAGCTTGTATTAGTTTGTAATCTACCTTCTTAATAAAAGAATCCTTCTTCTTTATATGTTCTCCCACAATAGTTTTCAATCAAAAATGGTTTTACTATTTTACCCTCAAACCATTTAATATTTTATTTCAATTCAATCCTATATGAAATCTTTCCACTTTTACTTTGCTTTACAAATTGCAAAAAAAAAATTTAAAAATTCATTTAATATATTTACAATCTGTGATTCTAGGTTGTTGTTATCATTGGATGGCATAACTTATTTTGTGGTGATCCTTAAGTGTTTCTATTGATATTTTATTGATCTAGAGAAGATACAATATGATTATTGAGATTTAGATGTGATTGTGCGTTGTACGATGTAACCTCCTAAAAGTATTATATAAATTCTAACATTGCATAAAAAAAACAGTTATTTGTCTATTTAAATATCTATTGTGATTGTTCAATATTTTATCTTAGTTTTTATATATACATATATTTAATTTTGCTCTCTATTTTTTATATCAACTTATTTATTATGTATAAGCACATTTCTAGATTAAATGTATTTTTAAATTAATAAAACTCATGTAGCTTGGAGTTAGCAGGTATGGAGGTAGTAATCACGAAGAAGCATGCATATATAGGGGCAACAAAAAAACAAAGATGAAACTCAATATAGGGTGCATTGTTATGAATTATTATTTAGTGAATGACTATTGGATTCTCCATATTCCCCCATTACTCTCCATAATTAGTGAACATTATAGCAAACATTATTATGAGTTTTATGAGTGTAGTTATGCACCACTATAATGAGCATTCATATCATACATCACATTTCATCTTCTTTGTCTAGTATAAATAGTGAATATTATGTATTGTAAAGTTTGATGATTTCATCACAAATATTGGAATAAAAGTTCTCTCTACTCTCTTGTCTTTCTTTACTTTATAACTTATCTTGTTATTTGATCATATTTTATAACACGTTATCAGCACGACTCTACCATATAGCTCTAACTCCTTATTGGTCTTGTCATTTTCAGGTATGTATTTTTTATAATTTTACATGTACAATGCTTACAACTTATTTTATGGAATTTCTTAACTAACAATTCCTTACATTACGAGTCTTTATTTTGATTTCTATTTTCATTATGGAAAACAATGCTAGAGAAAACTTTCTCTAGTTTTCATACTACTAATATGCTCCTGCAGTAGCAATATCGTGAGAAATGTTTAAAATAATTATGAATTAATCTCATTTCTTCTTGTGGATAAACAAAACAAGGAGTTATTGATGAAAAATTATCAATCAATCCCGACCGGTTCTAGTACATTCCCTGAAGTGAATGCAACTCATATAATCATAATAGTCATAAGTCTAACCGAGGTCGTGGAGGTTATCATAATTATCATAAAAATAACAAGATTACAAGTAACCACCAGAAGTTGGAAAACAATAAAAATCCACATCCTAATGATAAAAGTGGTCAAGGCAAAAAAAAATGAAAATGTTTATCACTAATGTGGAATGACTGATCATTAGTCTTGTACATGCCGCTTACCAAAGCATTTTGTTGATCTTTATCAAGATTATCTAAAATATAAAGAAAAATATCGAAACAAATTTTATTCGAAGTGATATTGATGAAGATCAACCAGAAATGACACATTTGGATGTTGCCGATTTTCTTGTCTACCCAAAAGGGACAAGTGGTGATATGGATGGTGATTGAAGAATAATGTGTACTTTTGTTTCATGTCATTTATTATGTTTTTATGGCATATTCATATTATAAGAAATGATGTCATCACAATCTTATCAATGAAATAAAATATGAATTTATTTCTCCAAGACGAATGTTTCTTATGTTTTATTTATATATTGAAAAGAAATATTGATATTCGCAAAAGAAATAATGAAGATATATTTCTTGCAGACAATGCAATAACACATAACATTTTTAATAATGAAAAGTATTATGCTTACTTATCAATTAGAGAAGCAAATGTTAATATAATAACAAGTAATGCAAAAATGATTGAAGGCTCCAAAAGAGAGAATATAATATTACAACAAAGGGACACTAATTACGAATTAGTGATGCATTATTTCGTCTAAATCACCAAGATTGAAGTCTCCGAAAGAGCGAATATCATATTACCACAAGGGACAATAATTACAATTGGAGGTGCATTATTTTCATTAAAATCATCAATAAATTTATTAAGTTTTAAGGATATTCGGTCCAACGAATATCATGTTGAAACAACCAATGATGGTGATAAAGAGTATCTCAATATTACAAAAATGATATCGGGTAAGAAAAGTCTTTTGGAAAAATTACCCGTATTGTCCTCCGGATTGTATTATACAAATATTAGAATGATTGAATCTCATGCTATTGAAAATAAAAGGTATGATAACATCTACAAAGTTTGGCATGACCGGTTGGGCCATCCCGGATCAGTTATGATGCGCAAAATAATTGAAAGTTCAAGTTGACATTTCTTGAAAAAACAGAAGATTTTTCAAGCTAATGAATTGTCTTGTGTTGCATGTTCTCAAGGAAAATTAATTTCTCATCCATCATTTAATAAAGTTGTGTATGAAAGTCCTAGTTTTTTAGAATGAATTCAAGGGGATATATGTGGACCAATTCATCCACCATGTGGACCATTTAGATATTTTATGGTCTTAATTGATGCATCAACTAGATGGTCACACGTGTGCTTGTTATCTAGCTGTAATCTCGCTTTCGCAAGATTACTAGCACAAATAATCCGCCTACGGCACATTTTCTTGATTACCCAATTATGGAAATTTGACTTGACAATGTTGGAGAAGTTACATCATAAACTTTTAATGATTATTCCATGTCGATTAGGACAACTATTGAACATCATGTTGCATATGTTCATACACAAAATTGTTTAGATGAGCCGTTAATCAAACGCCTTCAATTAATTGCAAGACCATTACTAATGCATTCTAAACTTCCTACATCGACATGGGGACATGCAATTTTACATGCAGCATCACTTATACGCATCAGGCCAACTAGTTATCATAAGTTCTCCCCTATTCAACTGGTTTGCGGCCATGTACCAAATATTTCCAATCTAAGGATGTTCGGATGTGCAATTTATGTACCTATTTCTCCACCTCACCGCACAAAAATGGGTCCTCAAAGAAGAATGAGAATTTATGTTGGATACGAATCTCCATCTATAGTAAAATATTTAAAATCATCAATTGGAGATTTATTTACAGCTATATTTGATGATTATTATTTTGATGAATCATATTTTCCAACATTAGGGGGAGAAATAAAGAAGTTGGAAAATAAAATCTCTTGAAAGGAATTGTCGCTTTCAGTTTTAGATCCTTGTTCAAGTCAATGTGAACTTGAAATAAAAAAGATAATTCATTTACAAAATGTAGCAAATCAATTGTCAGAAGCATTTACTGATCCTAAGTGGGTAACAAAGTCTCATGTACCAGCTATACTTACTTAAGTTAGAATTGATATCTCAGAAGGAAAAAAATATAACTGCAAATGAATCTTAGGCACGCCTGAAGCGTGGAAGATCAGCAGGTTCCAAAGATAAAAATCCTCAAAAATGAAATGAAGCAAATACAATTGATGGTCCAAAAGAGAAAACATAATCTCTTGAAAATATTAATGAAGCTCTAGAAGAGCCTAATTACATAACAAAAGAAAATAAGGTACCTGAAAAAAATGAAAATGACGAGATCTCAATAAATTATATCATGACAAGAATAAGATGGAACCGAAATAAGATAGATGTCGACGATAATTTTTCATATCATGTTCCGCGCGCGATTATAAAGAAAATGAGGATCTTGAACCTAATTCTATTGAGTAATGTATGAATAGAAAATATTGGCCAAATGGAAAGATGAAATAAATAAAGAGCTTAATTCTATTACTCAACGAAAAGTTTTTGGACCTGTAGTCCGTACACCAAACAAAGTAAGAACAATGGGACACGAATGGGTATTTGTGCGCAAAAGAAACGAGAAAAATGAAGTTGTGAGATATAA